GCTCCCCCAAATCAACCCCTGTGGGAGGATTACTACCCTCCTCCCCTTGGTTCCATCTAGTCTCTCTCTGAAAACCTGACAGTAGAAAAGAAGTACAAGAAAACTGGTAGAGCTATCCAGGTCAACTGGCTATGAATGAGGATATCTGCCTTGATAGTGGGGAAAATAAAAAAGCCAAATAAGGAGACACAGGCTTCAGCTGTGGCATATAAGACTTCAGACAACAGGAAGGACTTTTTGAAGAGATCTGGGGAGGGGGGCGGTTAAAACACCAGAAGAGGTGACAGAGGCTAGGGAATCTAGGGACAGGAGAGCTCCCTCTAATCAATCTGATTTGAGAGAAAGCCTAATCTGCCCAGAATTGCGGGAGGCAGGGCAGAACATTGTGAAGAGGGCCCCTGCCAGTGCAGCCATCTTATAATGTGCATGGACTCAGCCTCCCAATCCATCTTCATCAACTGCCTGTGGGCATTCTGCCTCCCTTTCCTAATTCCTATAGCAGAAGTGATTAGGTAGGCACTGATTCTTTCCTCCTGTTCCATCCTTTGCCTCCTTTAGTTCCTCTTTCCACAACTAGTTTTCTTGTCAATATCGTGACTCTAACCAAGTCATGTTGACAAAGTAAAAAACAGTAGCAACTATCTAGATGAAAAAGACCCTAAATCTGCCATAAAGCCACTAGGCTCACTCAAATATCTAGATAACTGCATTCATCCGCTGCCTCCTAGGGAAGACCTGACTTCTCAAGGGTCTGGCTTTCTGCACATGGAGGCCCCCTCCACCTCTTTTGACCATGTGACAGCTCCCCTAGACCTCTGAAATAATTTATACCTTGCCGGGGACCAACTCTTTCCCACCACTGTGAAGGAGAGGGAAAAAACATATATAAATACGTCGGAAATCTATAACGAGGTCTTCTTGGAGGGCAAGACATGGGGAGAGTTAGAAGCAGCGTCAATTGCTCTTTGGGGGTTTTAGTTCAAGCCGAGGTCTGCTTCCAGCAATCAACCATTAAAACAAGCTGGCCAGAGTAATAGCACAGTTTATTCTGATCATTTAATTTGAAGTGTCAATAAATTAAACTTCAATCAATTAAACTAGGTGTGCAATAACCCAGATGGACACCCCGACACCAACATAATCACAATAAAAATTTTTATGGCTACCAGGGACCTCACCGGGGGCAGTGCTGGCACTGCTTGCGCCCTAGCTGAGAAATATATCTCCACAGTGCAGGAACAAGATTGCTTCTCCTAACGAAATGGAGGGGCCAGGCACCAGCAAGGACGCAGCTGTGAGAGGGGCACGGGGGACTGCCAGGAATGAGATGGGAGTGCTTTGGGGGCTTAATGTAATTGATACCTTTGCCTACAGCAGGGGGAGGGGGCATTTAGGCCAAGTATCTCTACTGTTAGTGCCAAAGGAATTTAACAAAAGCCCCATTAAGATGATTCAGGAAGCAAAGGCCATGGAGCAACATCAACCTTTAAGAGTCATTGCTGTATTCTACATAGTTTCCTTCTCCATATATACAAATATCCGGTGCACTTTGTATGGTCTAATTTTTTAATGAGGCTTAGAATTTGGGATTTGGTCACTGTTTTAGGATAGAAATGTTATTAAGAGGAGAAGATAGAATTAGAAGTCTAGTCTGTAAAGCACTGGAAAAGCAGTCATAAAGTGAATCCAGAGAGGATTGTTGTTGTGTGCCATCGAGTTGATTCTGACTCATAGTGACCCAATGTGACAGAGCAGAACTGCCGCACAGGGTTTCCTAGGCTGTAATCTTTACATGAGCAAGCAGATCATCAGGTCTTTTCTCCTACAGAGCCAATGTGTAGGTTCCAACCACCGACCTGTGGTTAACAGCCAAGTGCTTCACCATTGTGCCACCAGGGCTCCTTATCCAGAGAGGATCAGGAAAAATAAAACCTATGAAGAAAGATTGAAGGATCTAGACTGCTAGAGTAATTCAGCCTTGAGGAAAAAGGGTAAAGGCGGAAGGAGGGAAGAAGATAAGTCACTGATCTTTAAGATTCCATAACTTATTAATGGAGAATAGCGACCTACTGAGATCCCTCTCCATTCACAAATGAAAAGGGGAGAATCAGCAGAAACAGCATGAGATATGAAGCTGAGTCCAAAAATGCAGGTTGGGAGCATTATTATTAAACACTAGGAACTGAGGAAGATAAAGGTCTCTTTCCTTAGAAACTACAAGGAGACCTGAGAAAGATTAGACAAATCGGCTTGGAAGCTACGCCTAGATTACTTAATTCAAAAAACATATGTGACCCGCTCTAAAGCACCTAAATGAAAGACACTTTTTGGTATTTAGAAATTCCCATAATCAGAGCAAATTTTGATAGATGGTTCTTCTTGACTATCTCTAGCTTACCCTTCCCTTCTCTGCGTGCCTTGTAGAGGTGAGGTGAGGATTGAAGAACGTGGTCTGATGAGATTTCCCCAGAGGTCCAACCAAACCAGGAAATAAAATGTGAAGGTAGGAAACCTAAAAGAACTTTGTTAGGCATCTGCCCTAAGGAGTGGCTTGTCAAATATTATCCAGGTAGAGTAAACGCTTTAGTTCAGTAGAGATCTAAGGTGAAATCCAGAGATTCCTCATTCTTTTCATAATCAAGATGGCCACCTAAGAATTAGGAGATGATGCTGAGTAGACAGAAGAGGCAATGAGATAAAAAGGAGCAGCGAAGAAGGGTGATTCTTAATACCCACTCACTGCTGTCGAGTTGATTCCGACCCATAGCGACCCTGTAGGACAGAGTAGAACGGCCCTATAGGGTTTCCAAGGCTGTAAATCTTTACAGAAGCAGATTGCCACATCTTTCTCCCTCGGAGTGGCTGGTCGGTTCGACTTTTTGGTTACCAGCTGAGAGCTTAACAACTGCACCATCAGGGCTCCGACTCTTAATAAAATGGAGCTAAACTTGGTGGGCCAGTATGTGAGGGTAGTGAGGTAAGAACAGGGATTTAGGAAATATCACCTGATTCTCAACTAGGGTTCCTCATCTTAAGCACAGACCACACAAAAATTACTTAAGTAACTTATTTTTTTCATTTCTCCCAAGGATGGTACATAACTAATGCCATTCTGGATGCTGAGGAAAAAGCTGATTCATTTTACAACAGATGTCTGAAAGCATCATGGATTAATTCCCTCATGAGACTCCAGATGAGAAAGGCTAGAAGGATGGGGATAAAGTACATGCATTTTTAATTGGCAGATCAAAATAAATTAAAATGTAAAGAGCAAAAAAATGTTGGAAACACATTTAACATCCTAAGAACTCTGGCGGCCAGTATAGTACAGCAATTGATACCTGTCGGTGCTCTGCCCCCATCCAAAGGTTTATATAACTGATGGCTGAAAGGATAATTTTCCATAAAGAAGTAGAAAGCCCATGATGAGAGAAACTCAGTAACATCAGAGAGAAGCTTGGTCTAGGAGGCTGAGAAAAGAAAAATCTAACCTAATTCTGATCCGACATTGTGCCTTCTTGAGCAAGCCCTTTTCCCTATACTTCGGTTTCTCCAAATCCTATTACATAGGCTCCTCATAATAAGGAATCATTATCTATACATACACAAGGTCGCCATGAGTCAGAATCGACTACAACATAGTTTTTAAACCAAAGTTCAGGGGTACCTAACCAAGTCAGCAGAGATACTATGAATGCAGCATCTTAGGTATTTAATTGGCTATAAGGAAGAAGTGGGTTGAAAGAGACTTCATTGCAGAAGCAGGAACAGGAAGCTGAGATAAGAGAAAATGTGACAAAGACTTGCACACAGAACTCACTCGATTCAGCATTACACAGAGACCCACGCGCCTTGTTAAAAACGCTCCCCAAGTATCATCTCCCTCACTCCTTTATCTGCAAGCAGGCTTCCTTCTAAACAGGAGTAGAGGAGTCTAAAAATTCCCCAAATCTTCCAAAGAAATCAATTCCCTAGCATCTATCCTAACTCTGTTAACTGGTTAAGAATACTGGGTAACTGCCTGGAAACAGGATATATTAAAAACTACCTTGTAATTTAAGTTTTCTATCTACACTTGGCCAACCCAGATGATGAGAAAAAATTATCTCTCTCTTTGCCATTTTGAAAGAGGGGAATTGAAACCTGTTAGTCATTTTTATCTGATGAGGATCTAGGTGTGTTATGTGTATTAGGTCAAAAGGAAAAGACAAGAAAAGCTGCTCTGGAAAGAGGGCAAGAATTCAACTCAAGTAATTTATTCATTTAAACAAGCAAAATGGATCTTATGAACCAAGGGGCTAATACACCCCTTTAGCCACCCAAATTCTCATATTGCCAGAAGGGGGAGTCAGCATATCAGATCCTACAATAAAAGTTCCTAAAGTCTAAATAGGGAGGGAAGAGAAGAAAAGAATAAGGAGTCTAGAAAAACACTGCACAGTCTATGCTAACTCTATCAAGTACTGTATTACAGAACTTTGATGGAACAATGATTCTTTATCATGACAAACATATACAAGAGGGATTAACGGGAAACCGATGTAAGGAGAAAAATAAGTTTTTGAAGAAATGTGACAGGCGATGAAGAGTCAAACTCTGACAATCATCATCAGGAAGAGACAAAACACCTGCACTCTGGTCCTAAAATCTGGGTCGAGTTTGGAGATTTGAGAAAACTCAAATTAGGAGGCGATGCTAAGAATCAGGGGGAACCTGAAGGACTCCAATCCAGTACGCTTGTAATTCTATGTATCCTAAGGACTCCATGTGCTTCCCTCAACTTTCCACCAACTCTATGCTTGCTTTCCGGCAGGGCTTCCTACTTGAATCCGAGGCTTTAGCTCCTGCAGTAGGCCACATACTCATTCCAGAGCCGCAAGAACCTTCGGTACCCGAGAATTACCCGGAAGTCCCCCTTCTCCTCCCTCTCAGTCGGGCTGAACCCCGACTCCCGGCCCCTCTGGACACTGCAGCATCTCCGCCGCCCCTCCGGCTCCTACCAAAATCAGCGCCTCCATCTTGCCCCGCAGCTGGTGCAGACGTGGAGCCTCAAAAGCAACGGCGCCGCTGATTGGCCCTACGTCCCCATTAAACTCCGCCCAGGTTAAGACTCATTGGACTACCGAATGCCAGCTTTTGCTCTATTGACCAGTCACTGCACTAAGTTTCTTAGCAGAAGCAAGGTGTCCAGTCAGAAGGCGCAGGCATTTGATTGTCAATTTGAACACTCAATAAAATGCCCAAATCACGCGACTGACTAGGGCGCGAGGGTCAGTGAGGCGGGGTTGTTTCCATGGGGAACAGAGGAAGCGATTATTCACTTTCAATTGGTAGGCCAAGGTCACGTGATACCGGCCGACAGCTTTAGACATTTTAATCCGCACTCCTCATAGGGGGCGCTATGCTCCCCTTATCCCTTAACCCTGGCAGTTTCTGCCGGAATGCTGGCCTAATCCCTGTGATGCCCGCCCCCCCTTGTGTTGCTGTGACGACCACAGCCAGCTCTTCCCTCTCCACACACAGACAAGCTCCGTCAGGTCACTTCAGCGACATCGTAGAACGTCTGCACAACCACAGACTGTGCAGACGAGATGCCCAGCGTGTTAACTAGATGAACCATGGCGACAGGAGTTGATCACCACAGTAACAGTCTCCCCAAAAGATAGTCCCAGGCTTTGCTAGGCCCAGGGAAGGACAAGAAGCTAGTGAGTTTCTAAAGGTTTTTCTCTAGCCTGACATGAAACGGAATGTTAGTGCTTTGGAGACCAGAAAGGAGAGAGGAGGAGGGACAAAGGGGTAAAGGGACCAGGATAAGGGATGATATGGGGAGCAGGGTCTGCTATTTTCCAGTAAGGACAAGTCATTGCAAAATGAGAAAAGAGAAGTTTACTGAGTACAGAGATTTCACAATGGGGAAGGGTTTTGATGAAGTTTGACTTTCCCCTATCTCTTGGTTCCCTGGTCTCTGACCGTCTTAGATCAGAGACACTTTTCATTATCTCATGTTATTCCTAAAGGGATTATTGTTTTTCACCTCTGACAATTATGTCTTTGGAATACATCCAAGAAGACAGTCTGGACCCACCCAAGAGTTTTTCTAGTTGTTTTGGAGTAGAGTCATAGGACCTAAGAGAGAAGAAAAAAAACACAAAACTACAGAGCTAATACGTACTATGAAGGAAAGTATTTAAATAATATTCTGATGAAGTCCCAAATGACAAGCCTCAATAATCTAGGGCCCCAAATATAAATTGGAAAAGTCAGCTGGGGTTGAGGGGATGGTGTGTGAGAAAGGACTTATTTTATACCTGATTGAGCTTAGTTTAGCACTTTGTCCTCTTGTAATTGCTAAGATGCTGAGCCCTGGAAACAAAACATGAAGGTCCATTATCTATGGACTTGAGAGAGGCTGAAGCTAGAGGCTTACAGTTTAAGGAAGCAGAGATCCACCCCAAAGCTTCAGTTGATGAGGCTGGAACCGGACCCTCTTTGTAACATGTAACCTCTTTCCCGGAAGACCCTTGAAAGGCACAATCTAAATCATCTCAAAGCAAGAAAGTTCCAATTTGACTGTTTTTCAGCCAAGTTTTTGGAAAGATCCAGATTAAGATACTTTATAAAAAACAAGAGGAGTGAAAATTGACTATGAGTTCAATTAGGGGTGCTTGGGCTTGGTTATTTGAAGACTAACTAGAGAGAAAGATGCTGGTGAGGAGCAGAGAGGAGATAGTTAAACTTGGAGGTTTTGTAAGCAGAAAATTATTTGGTTTGAACATTGAGTAGGCAAGAAAGCCAGGGCCATTAAGGCGTCAATACGACCCAAACCAATCTATAGATTCAATGCAATCCCCATCAAAATTCCAACAGACATCTTTGCAGAAATGGAAAAGCCTATTCTCAAATTTATATGGGACTACAAGGGGTGCCAAATAGCCAAAGCAATCTTAAAAAAGAAGAAGAAAGTAGGAGGACTCATTCGTCCCGATGTCAAAACATACTACAAAGCTACAGTAATTAAAATAGTCTGGTACTGATAAAATGATAGACATATAGACCAATGGAATACAATTGAGAGTCCAGAAATAAACCCATACATACCTGGTCAATTGATTTTCGAAAAGGGTACTGAGTCCACTTAATGAGGAAAGAATAGTCTCTTTAATAAGTGGTGCTGGGACAACTGGATCCCCACATGCAGAAGAATTAAGCAGAGCCCATATCTCATACCATATATGAAGATTAACTCAAAATGGACCAAGAACTTAAATGTAAGAACTAAAAGCTTAAAACTCTTAAAATAAAGCATAGGGGTAATGCTTTGGGATCTAGTTTTTGACAATGGATTCTTAGATGTCATGCATTCGTGAAATGATGGATGGGGCTTGAAGAGGGAGATATTCTAGGTTGAAAGAGTGGTATGAGTAAGGTATGGAGGTTGGGACATGTAGGAAATCTTTGGGACATTGATTTCATGGGGCGGAGGATGCAAATAAAGAAATAGGGAGAGAATGGAGATAAAACTGGAAAGGTACTGTGTGGCCAAATTGTGAAAGACCTTGAATGCAAACCTAGGTAGCTGCTGTAGTGGGACCATATGATTGTTTGTGGCAGTGCAAGATGTTACAGTCTTTTGGAAAGTATTCTGGCAATATCGTGAAAATTAAATATGGGTATATCTTCTCCCAGAGAAATAAAAACAACCCAGTATATATATGTGTGTGTATACGTGCATATATAAGACTGTATGTACATACATACATATGTAAGACTGCTTATTGCAGCATTGTTTACAATGGTAAAAAAATAGCGTTATTGTCTATCAGCAGAGGAATAGTTTAATAACTTATTGTACATCCCGACTGTGGAATAATATGCAACTAATAAAAAGGAATGTTCGATCTATATGCGTTAACCTGAAGAAATATCCATGGACAGCTAAATGAAAAAAGTAAGTTCCAGAGTAATTTATATGGTACCACCCCATTTTTTTTAATCAAAAAAATTTAAGACTCTGTCTTAATTATCTAGTGCTGCTATAACGGAAATACCACAAGTAGATGGCTTTAACAGAAGTGTATTCTCTCATAGTCTAGGAGGCTAGAAGTCTGAATTCAGGGCACTCCAGAAGTCTTTCTCTCTCTGTCGGTTCTGGGGGAAGGTCCTTGTCATCATCTTCCCCTGGTCTAGGAGCTTCTCAGTGCAGGGACTACGAGTCTAAAGAACACACTCTGCTCCCGGCGCCTCTTTCTTGATGGTATGAGGTCCTTTGGAGCCCTGGTGGCTCAGTGGTTAAGAGCTCAGGCTGCTAAACAAAAGTTTGGCAGTTGGAATCTACCAGCTGCTCTTGAAAACCCTATGGCGGGTTCCTATAGGGTCACTATGAGTCAGAATTGACTCAACTGGCAATGGGTTTTGAAAGATAAAAGGTGATGCAGGCCACACCCCAGGGAAACTCCCTTTACGTTGGATCAGGGCTGTGACCTGAGTAAGGATGTTGCATCCTACCCTAATCCTCTATAAAGTAACCTAATCTTGCCTCACTCATTAACATCATAGAGGTTAGGATTTATGACATATAAGATAATCACATCAGATGACAAAATGGTGGACAACCATGCAATACTGGGAATCATGGCCTAGCCAAGTTGACACACATTTCGAGAGGACATAATTCAATCCATAACAGACTCTAATCATGAATAGCTATGTTTATATGTTATTGTTGTTTTAAGTTGCTGTCAAGTTGGTTCCAACTCATGGTGACCTTAAGTATAACAGAACAAAATGTTGCCTGGTCTTGCACCATCTTCATGATTGTTGGTATGTTTGAGTCCACTGTTGTGGCTATTGTGTCATTCCATCTCATGAGGGTTTCCCTGGTTTTCACTGACTCTCTACTTTATCAAACATGATGTACTTTTCTAGTGATTGGTCTTTCCTGATGACATGTCCAAAGTAAGTGAGCCAAAGTTTCTGCCATCCTCGCTTCTAAGGAGCACTCTTGTTGTATTTCTTCTAAGACTTACTTGTGCACTTGCTAATCATAGGTTTTCACTGGCTGAATTTTGGAAGTAGATCACCATGTCTTTCTTCCTAGTTTTAGTCTGGAAGCTCTGCTGAAACCTATCCACCAGGGTGGCTCTACTGGTGTTGGAAATACCAACGGCATAGCTTCCTATATCTTAGCAACATGCAAACCACCACAGAATGACAAACTGACAAATGTTGGATGTTTGTATGTTTCTATAAATATATTCTTTCATTCAACAAATATTTACTGGATATCAGTCACACTAGGCACTAAGGATATAGCAGTAAACAAAACAGACAAGTATCCCTGCCCTCATGGACATTACATTCTAGTTGGGCAGCAGGAGCAGAAAATAAACCAAAGAGATAAGTAAAATATAAAGGATATTAGGTAGTAATAAGTGTTATGGAGAAATTTAAAAATAAAAGGAGGATGGGGGCAAACCATTGCACAGTTTGAAGTGGTACCATTCATACTGAAGAGAAGTGAGGGACAGGGAAGAGGTTTAATAGGTGATCAAGGAAGACCTTACTAAGAAGGATACATTTGATAAAAGACCTGGAAGGAGTAAGGGAATGAGCCATGTTGTTATTTGGGGGGAAATGTATTCTAGGAAGAGAGAACATACAGGGAAATGCATAAGAGAAGTATTATCATAGGCTACTCGTAGAGGGTGAGATGGAAGGAGTGGATTATTAAATAATTTTTCTTTATATATGTTGGTATCATGGGACTTTGTTACAACAAGCATATGTTTATAGTTTAGCACTAACAAAAAAATAAATATCTTTTCACCACAATAAAATAAATTTTACTTTGAAGGGAAAAAAGTGTACATCAAAATGAAGATAAAGTTGTGAAGAGTAAATGAGATAATATGTGTGAAAATATGTGTAAACTGTTAAATGCTTTGCTATTGTTACTTATTATCTTACGCATGATTGGAAACCATCGAATGTTTCTGAGCAAAAGAATGAGATTATGGAAGCAATTTTAAGATAATCAATTTGACACCTGTGTGTGCGGGAAGTATTGGGGAA